ATATATATATTAGCGTTAGTTTTATTGGTCCACTTAATGTTATCTCGAATTACATTTGAGTTTGTGCAAACAATAAGAGATTCTTGAATTTTTTTTCAATTATTTGATATTTAGACTCTTTATATTAGCTGGAATGATGGAGTGAAAAAAACTACTGTTTTTCAAATCATAATAACATCCATTACTTTCAGTTCACTTCAGATAGTTTCATATCGAGAAGTTCTACCCGTCATGCTGCCATCACATCCCGTTTTGTTCCTACGTATTTGTATAAATTTTCGTATGGTAATATGAAGACTGATTTTCCTGGTGAGTTTTTCGTTTTTGGAATATTGAATTAATGAAAAAAAAATAAAACCTCCTTTTCCGCATTGTAGAATAGCAATGAATGACTGAAAAATAGAATTGAGTTTCTGTCGTAGATTGAATCCAAAACCAGTATTGCTCCCAACAGGCTACAAAACTGTTTTTTGCAGGCGTTTTAGCAACTAACATGACATCTTCAGGCTATAAATGGAATTATTTCACACTTCACATTTTCCAGACTTCAGACAATAATAATTCATTTTGTGGTCATGCTACATATTCTTTGGAACAAGTACATTTATACAGGGTGTAACTAAATAAATGTAAAACATTCAAGGAGGTGATTTCTCATCAAAANTTTTCAGTTATTATTCCGGTATAGAGATGAATATATCTTATCTGTGTATCAGAGATGTCGCCATGATCTTCCCTGATCCTCAACCACGAACAGGCTGTGCAGCTAGAATGGCTAGACTTTATACATTTGCAGTTGATTCAAATAATTATAATGTGCAATAAGTTTCAAAGAAACAACCAAATGTATGATTACCTATTTTAAGTTTAAATTGTCAAAGACTCTGTAACGATGTCATACAAAATAATACATTGGAAATAAATTTTAGGGGTTGCGTTTTCCATCCCTTACAACCATGGGGTGAACCAAATAAATTACTGGCTAAGTGTCTTTTTGGTAGTACAAAACGTCAGGCTAATTTCAATATTGTAACCACTTCAGTGCTTGTGAAAAAAATTGTTATACAAATTTTATGTACCCCCTTTAAGGGGCTGTATCTTAACAAGGGATGCTCCACTTGAAGTTTCTTTATATGGAAGATCCTTTTTTTTTTCGATGAGAAGTCACCTCCTTGAATGTTTTACACTTATTCAGTTACACCCTATACAGATCGTTCAGTCTTCCGATATATTTTCTGTCAGAAAATTCCAAATTGGTATCATTGGTGTTTTCTCATTGGTATGGATATTTTAACATTAGATGTCTCTGACTTTCATCAGTTCTGACTTTCATTGTATAATATAATATGGAATGATTCGAAATCCCTAGTACAACATAACAATTAATTAAGCATAAAAACCCTGAACTGAAATTACGATAAAATAATAAGAAATGAAAATTTAAAGATTTCAAGCCAAGTTACTTCACGAAGTTTCCATTGTAAGTACTAACAATCGTCTTCAGGTGTTGACTGGACTTATTTCTTCGAGAGACGGCTATTTATAGGTCATTCGAGAGCTTTCACCTATCCCCTTTTTTCTCTATACACTTCACCGGTATACCGGGAGCTGACCGTTTGGCAGGAGTTTGCCGTTGTCCATAATTAAGTGGATTAAATATGAGTTTTCATATGTTGCGTATCTGTACGCAAGCTAAATGCGTTGTTAGACAACATATATGCGGCTTCTTCGAATCTTTTCCTAAACCATTGTTACTTCGCATGAATGATCTGAGCTTGGGACCACTTAATGTTATGATGGAGAGTCCAAACATGCTTTGCTATTTCCGATTTGTTCGTTTCAGGAGAAACGCAAACACAGCGAGGACGCTGTGTTTGCTCAGCAATGCGGGCTTTCAATGGCCTCTTATATCACACTGATCTGGGATTTTCCACACTCGCATTGTATACGGTAAATGCAATTCTTGGAATCGTAGTCTTCGTTTGGTGGCCTGGTTTTCGTAAGGCTGCTACGGATAGTGTTTCCGGTTCTGAAACAAGGTACTGATGTTATACTCAGACCCAATTTTTCTTATCCTCTTCGACAATCGTATGATGGAGGAAAGTGCAAGTACTGGTTGTGACGGCTTCTCCTTCTTATGAGGATGTGGCTGTCTTTTCCAACATTACTTTGGATTAACCATTTCGTTGAAAGTCATTTTTGATAATATTTATTTTTTTCTCGAAACCTCGAGGTTAGATTCGTGGTTCAGTTACTATCCCGTATGAGTCAGTTTTCGGTATTCAGATGTTTCTCACTCATTGTTGGTCCTCTTCACCAATACGTCTGAGAATGACAATTCATTTTGGACTTCCTTCTCAATTGTGAAAGTGGTGAAGGGTTTTACGCTATTTAGGTGCTTCAGAAAGGTGTCTAGTTTTGTATTCCCATGCTTTCACATTATAGAGGTGTCGTCAACGTATCCCAACAAGACTTAGGGCTTCTTGTGGGCTTCTTCAATGGCCGGAGTTTCAAACTACTCCATATATATGTTGGTGAGAATGGCGATCACATTGGCAGTTCTTCATCTTGCGTGAATAATTCGTCCTTCAGTTGGAAGTAGCAGTTTTGTATAGAGCAGAGTTTTGTGCTCAATATAATTGTTATCTTTGACCATTTTCAACTTCAATATTAATTGACTCTTTCATGAATTTCGGATCATTCTATATCATATTAGACAATGGAACTAATCAATTCCATCATGAAACATTGTCAACCACCTTCAAATAAAAGTAAATATCTCTGGTAACACTTGCACCAAAACTCTTCTAATCGTTTTATATTTACAGCATGGACAAATTAAAAAAGTCCGTACATAATGAAATAGAGTATGTTGTTTTTTAGATACTGAACATGTACCTCATGCTCAAGAAATGAGATTTATTTGGGAGAAATCTTTCAATCCAGATAGCAGGGATTTCGACAACGTAATACGTCAACAAACTTTGAAGTTATGGACAAATTTCATGAAATATCAGTAAGCATTTCCTTTCACCAGACGATGAATTCATTGATGTTAATATTAACCTTCCGATGGACGATAGTCCCGCGAGCGGTGAACCGGAGAACAAGGTCCCTACTAGGGAGCTTCAAAAAACATACTGAAGTCACAGGATGATAAGTTTGCAGTTGTTTTAAAAGTGTCCCTACATGAATATATTCATATAGCTTATGGTTGTATAAAGTGCCTGAATGATATAGATAGGTAAGAGGCGTGAAATATGAGTGGTATCGCAAAAACAAGAAGATTGATTTCAATTCAATTCCTGCTTTATTTTAACAGGTAGGCAGTAAAACAAATTACGAAAATATTACAAAAATTGTATTTGCATTCTATGTTATTACTGTATTGTTGTACATTTGGTGCTTGGAAAGTGAATTTTATAATTGTCACAAAACGATGAAGCAACCTTGAAAATTGGAACATGAGTTGTGCCCCATAGTTTTTCTACAGGCTCGGTGTTGGATTCTATCAGCCAAGCATACAAATTAATCGCTACGAACGGGTCAAACTCCTTCAGAGTCAATGATTGCTATTGCTTCTGCATGGTCATTTTTTTTTCATTCCATGTAGCGACTACCTGGTTGACCTTGCAATTTGTTGCGCGCAATATAATTTGAGCAATATCTTCGGTAATCAGAGAGAAAAGCATTGAAAACGAATCATAAATCATCTTCTTCGTTGGTCCTGATTTATTTTGTTTGTAGTCGATAATGTTATGAGCACATACACGACTGCTCGGTGGAGGATCTTTGAACCACTCCTTACCATTTTTTGAAATAAAGTGAGTTGCATCAATCTCAGTCTGAGGAAAAGCAGCAATGGCTGCAATCAATCGACATTGATTTCTATATTTCCTTCAACTTCAACATCGGATACATTCCTATCATATTCTGGCCAATACATAAGGTCAATGTCATAATCTCCGTCATCAAAATGGTCATAATTTTCGCCCATTTCGGCTTTCATACAAGCCCGACATTTTATCGGCGATAGGTTGTTCCTCCTCAGTCAAACGCTGATAGCGTGTAGTATTATTATTCAGAACCATGTTCACAAGATCCCACTCATCATCTGCCATTGTTCTACAGAATGAAACCAATCACACTAAATAATACACATGACAAAAATAAAGCAAACAAAATTACCTTTCAAACATGAATAATAACCAAAGAAACAAAATTATACACTCGAAAGAACCAAACAGTAAATTTCAAATGCGCAATAATACGTGTTTACTCGTCAAGTGATGGTCTCACATTGGCTGGTACCTGCCCCCCCCATGCCACCTCCCGGGTTGAGTGCCCTGAAGTAAAAGCTTTCCCCCCCTGCTAGTTTGCGAGGAAAAGCTAATACTCCACTCCATCCACCCCCGCTCTCCGAGCCGTCCTAAACTTACTGATGGGCACTTCAGCAAGATTGACATCTGACCTCTTTTAGTCGAAAGTCAACCTTTCGCGATCGGTTATTTGCTTTGTCATGACTATTCCTAACTGAATTTTTGCATGGGGGCCCTCAAAAGCTAACCGGCGGCTATTGTGTTTAGCGTCGAGCATTCCTCAGTGAATCTAAGGGGAAGTGAATCGCGGTCGAGTTGTTCTACGTTGAACCTACCTGAAAGAGAGTTCATCTGATTAATTTTATGCTTACCTGAGTCGCCTGACGGCGACTCGTGGGGGTGGTCGTTGATTGTGCTTTGTCGACCTTGGCTGTTTATCCCTTCCTCGGAATCTAGGGGCATCCATGTTCAACGCATCTGTTTGGGATATAGTACGGTGCGTTTACAGCGGCCTTTACGCTCGCGTTCATGGACAATTGTATCTTCTTCCTGTATGGCTGTGCGCACTGGCCCAGGCAGTGCAGGCATAGAGTATTATGGGCATGAGAACGGTTTTAATCATTAGCAACTTTACTTTCGATCCCATGTTGCTTCTGTGACCTATGACAGGTGCCAGGCGTTGTCTGGCGTGTCTAGCCATTTCTATTATCTGCCGTACGTGAGACTGGAATGTTAGTTTCCTGTCTAAGATGACCCCCAGGTATGTCGCTTTGTTGGTACACGGAATCTCTAGTCCGTTGAAGGTGAAGTTGCCTTTCGGTTGTACCTGCGAGTGAACAGTATCGCCTGACTCTTGTCAGGGTTTATACTGATCTTCCACAGGTTGGCCCACTCTTTTATTTGTCTGCCTGTTGCTGCAAAAATCTCGTGACATGCGTTTGGCTCGTAGATCTCGCTAGCAGAGCCGTGTCGTCCGCGTAGAGCGGCAACTTGTTAAAGATTGTTCTCTGGCTTGGGCACGTCAGCTGTGTATACGGAGAGGTGCGGCGAAAGGACTGCTCCTTGCGGGACCCCTGCTTCCAGTAGTCGAATTGTTGATAGTTCGTATCCTACTCTGCAACGGCATCGCCTGAGTCAAATACACCTTTCTCATATATAAGGTCCATAGGGACCTTGTATCTGCGTTTGAGTCGAAAATGGCTTGAAACTAAAGAAAAATTGGAACCGGAGATTGAATTGAGTTGAAAATTGTTTTAATCGATTCAGCATATTATTTTTATGGAATACATGTAGCGACAGGTTTCTAGCGCATGATAACAAAAAGTTATAAACTCAAAAATATTGTAAAAGATCCTTACGGACCTTCTCACTGATCGGAGGGTTAATAATTTAGATTAATTGTAACCAACCGAGAGTATAAACCTCACTTGATCAATTTCATCGTACTTCGAAATGATTTTATCGTAATACAGACTCTTTATTTCATTTTAGCGATCCTACTCCGTCGAGAGATCCGCTGTTAATGAATATAATCTGGCCTAAAGTGGAACCGGACAATATTTTGTATCTGAACATTGACGAAACATTAAATGTAACATTGAATCCCAGACAGTATAATGAAGTGAGCAGCATACTTGATTCGTACATACATTCACCTCTTGCTACTTACTGAAATGTTATTATTAGAAAGTGTTGTTTGTAAGAATAAAACCGAAGTAAGTAATATAAAGCATTTTTTCCTTGGTTGACTTTCTGGATATGACAATTTGTCAAAGTGAATAATAACAACTCAGATATCATTTATCTCAAATCAGAGGTACCTCAAGGATCCATACTCGGCCCTTTATTGTTCTCTGTATATACATCCAACTTACTGCAGGCTCTTCACACTTGTCAGGTGCATTTATATGCTGTCGATACTCAAGTATACCACAGCTTTCCGGCGGAAATGGCAGACAATGCTTGTGACGTTATCAATGCAGATATAAATAGATTTGTTGAATTGGCTACGGACCACTGTTTATTTACAAACCCCAGTAAATCAAATGTAATGATCTTTGGTTTGAGATCTCACCGTTCCATGTTGAATAACTCTGTGAATATCTGCATTCGAAATGAACCACTAGATATTGTTAGTGAAGCAAATAATCTTGGTAATTTGATGGCTGTAGGTCTGAGATTTGAAAATTTTCTGAATAAACTCTCACAACGTGCCTATTCTGCACTGAAAATCATTTATTGTAACCGACATATTCTGTCTCATTATGTGAAAAAGTCCTTATGTGAATCTTCGGTGCTTTCAGTTTTCAATTAAGCGGATGTTCTTTATGGTCATTGTTTAATCAATACAAAAATAAGATTCAAAAAGTTCAAAACTCGTGCCTTAGGTTAATTTTTGGTATTGGTCAGCGACACAGAATCTCATATAAGCTTCAAGAAATTGGATGGCTGAACATGGAGAAAAGAAAGTTACTTCACGCTGTCTGTTTTTTCCATTAAATAATTGTAACGAAAAACCTTCATATCTTTATAGAAAAATCACATATCGTACAGACATCCATAACCTGAATATTCGATATTAAAATATGATTGCAATGCCAAAATTCAAAACAGAAGTGTTCAGGCGGTCTTTCAGGTACCAAATTTGTCGATAGTATAATTCTGTCCCCAACCTCCTCAAAAAATTAAATTTCACAAAGGTAAAACTGAATATGAAGACTATTTGTTGGACTGAAATTGAATCGAATTATTGATATCTTGTAAGGAATAGGTGAAGGTAAGGTGTTTATTCGTATTTATATTAGAATATCATTAAAATATATATAACAATAACAGTTCTAGTTTTGTTTTTCTTCTGTTTTCCTTTTTATCTGTTCTCTTTCCAGGGTTGAGAGGAAGAACATTATTCGTGATGTATTCTATTACGGACAATGAACTTCGCCCTTTATTTCAATTGTTAGTTGAATATATAAGTTATGTTATGTTTTTTTGTTTTGTTTATGAAATAATGAAGGCGATATTATTATTATCATTATGCACAAATAAAGCCTATGGAAACAATTGTCATAATCGAGCGGTTCTCGAAAACTTTTTTTTCATCGATTTATAAAAATGATAAGCGTATGAAAGCAACTAAGTTACCAAAGCATACCGATCCCAAACCCAGTTTTTGGAAAAAATACTGATAACAAAAATTGTTCTCGACCTAATTTGCCAGAAAATCTTTGGAAATATTCAGGTTCAATTGATAGTTGTCTAAATATGATGCTGAGAAATTGAAGAACAAAACGATTAGTGAACTGTACTTTTTGATGAGTACAACTTTTCAAAACAACAATAGTGAAGGCCTTCAGTTGAAGATGAAATTATTTTTACATCATTTAATTTGGCAAAGGACTCAACTTGATGATTAGTTAGTTCGACGATGTATACAAACGACTCAAAAAGCCGCTGATGAGTTTTTCTGAAAAAAGCTTTGAAAGCCTCTGATTAAAGTTAACTAATGTTCTAGAATGAATATTTTTTGCAATTTCACATATTGAGATTGTTCTTTGAGTTTTTCATTTGTTGATAATTTTATTTCTAACTTTGACTTTCGAATCTTTCATTTCCAATAGGAAAAACCTGTTTCCGGTGGGTACTTTTGATTATTGAAAATGGAAAAAGGGGTACTTTTATATTCCTTTTTCGGAATACAATAATGAGTGTAAACATTTCTTTTTTTTTGAAAGTTCCTGACTCTTTAAGAATAGCAGTAAGACGAAGAAATGTAGCTTTCAAAAATAACTTCCTTTTTGAAAAAATATACTTCTATTTTATTTATTCATCTAATTACCAAAAAGTTTCAACAAATACACAATTCCATTGTCCAAGAAAAAATGCAGCATTTGATCATGGAACTTGTCCCACAATTCTTCAATGATTTTGAAGAGAATATTCAGATTTTTTGGTTTGAGTCTAGTCTACGTTGAGTTTCTTGAAGTTTCCGTAGTATCCTAGAATTTCATCATTGACTAAAGGTGTTGGTCTAAATGATTCGTTCACACGTAGTGTTTCCAGAACGTCGAACCTTTCTTTATGAGCAGCTAACTCTTTTTTGAATATTTCTGAAAAAATCATGAAATCTGAATAACCAACAGACACATTTATTTATAGAAACAACAGTTCAAGGTTCTTATTGAGAATAATAAAACCAACCACAAAAATATACATACATTTCGGAGAGAAACCAGTCATTTCTAAATCTGATTTTTTTATTCCATACTCAAATTCCAAATCATCCTCAAAAAGTATACGATTCCTATCAATGATCACAAAAACAGGTGAATTGGTGGGTTGAATTACGAGCCTAAAGAAAAAATAGAATACCTACAAGAGTGAAAAGTTGTTTGAATGAGAAATTTCACTCAAATGTATTTCGTATCTGTTTCATAACAAGTTTCCAGAGAAGGATATATTCTATGGTTTCCAGCTTTCCAATCACTTCAAATCCAGATGGAATTTGATGCTGCTCTGTTTGTAACCTCGTTAACGAGACGGGACTGACACTACTTCCTTGTAGTTCAACGGCTCCAGTGTCAGACGGAGGTTTCTCAAGAAAATTGAAGGAATTAGTCTATAATATAATACAATGGTACTGTTTCCGTTAGATCTGTTTTGTAATGGTGACAAGTAACACTCTGAAACCAGTCTGAGGTTGATTACTCGATGAATTTCCACGAGGTCCATCTAATGGAAAGATGTTCTTCTATAAAGGTTTTTTTCCGAACATAATGTTCAATACGTTTCAGAAATTTATCATATATATATACAGTACGATGCAAATGTATGGAATAAATTCGATATTCACAAAAGGAGCGTCTTTCGGAAGAAATCCAAAAACAGGTCAACTTTAAT